AGTTTATTTTCTTTAGATTTAGTAAAGTTAAACACTGCTTGTCTTTTAAAGCTTGAATTTATAACAATTTAGTCTGTTTGAAGTTTTTGCTCTTTGTCTCTAGACAGTTAAAGAAAACTCTTTAACTAAAGTCAAATAAGGAAGTAACAAACTGTTAACAACATGATAGTGTTTGTGAAGGAAGTAGCATGTTGTTATGTCCCCAAGAAGGAAGCTGATGAATTGAAGAACTACATCTGTTTCATTTCTCTCTTTCAAAACATTGTCACAGTTTCATTGCTAACTGAGCTGTACGTTAAAATCTCCAGTGAGCATACCAATCAGTGCCAGTCAAATCTCTAAAACAGTGTGAATGAAAATGGAATTTAAAATGAACACTGTATTAGTCATTAATATTACATTAATAATCCATCTGCTCACAAACTGATGTATTTTTCAGTCGGACAATGACTTTATGGCTAAAATTGCAAACTCCATGACTGCCAGCACCATTCAGGCATCGTTACGATGGAGTAAATGTGACTAAAAGTCTCAGCTTGATAAATTAAAATTTTTTAAATTTGCAATAAATATGCAACTTCATAACTCATTTTCATGTAATGGATTACGAGACTTCCAACAAAACAAAGTGTATTAATATTGCATTGTTAATATATCTACTGACAAACTGATGTGTTTCTGTGTGGGATATTGACTTTAGGGTTAATTTGCAAGCTGCAACTACATCACTGCTGCCACCACGTGGATAATTTAATAGCAGGCAAACACAGAACATGCTAGTTCTAACCAGTCATACTGTGTGGATTCTGGGAAACTCTGTGATGGAGTAAAGTTTAGCATGTGTCAATTTTGCTCGAAATTGATCTTTTGTGGAACTGTTGAACCTGGTAATGGTGTCCCTCAGCACAGATCTTTTCTAAGTTTGAAACGAGAGTGTAGACTGTAAAATTTACATTCAGAAATTGCCTCACATTTTTATATGGTTTCATTTATTAATGTACTCCACACACATTACAAAAGATTCATTATGCTGTCTTGGCAACTATAAGGAAATTAGTTCTTAAAAACAGTTCAATCAAAGAAGAAACACTTTAAAACAAAACGAGAAATTATATATAACACACGTGTTTTAAAACAAACTCGTTATTATCCTTCTTCACTTGGTGGTGAAGTATTTTGAATAGGTCTTGTTGTACATCACTTGATTATCTACTCTTATGACAGTTCTCAGGTTTTGCCAAAACCAGGGCTCTGCGGCTGCTGTACGCGGCCACTCTACAACACTGCTCTCGCACAGTCGCTTCCTCAAGCGCAGAAAGTGAGAATGCTGCAGGACAGGCTCCAGCATTAGCAGTACTATCACATCCACATTTTCATCCAGCAGTCTTTGGTGGGCCAGATACATTGCTAGCTTGAAAGCA